GTTTTAAAAAATAATCCCGTCCACACATAAAGGCAGAAATGAAGGAAAACGCTGCTATGAACATGCCAAAGCAGCAGGTGGCGCTAGATTCCTAACCGTGCAGAAATGTTGGCCAATCAGAAGTCTAGAAGCCTCGGTGGGAAAAAGTAAACAAAGCTGGGGCATAGAAGCAGAACCGAGTCGTATGTGTGGAGGGACAGTAACTGTGTGTATATGTAAGCATTTAAACACTGCAGAGAGTAGAATTAACAGTAACAGTATTGTAGAAATTCATTTCACCGAAACAATAACGTGGCGCACAGTGTGACGCATGCACCAGTTTATTGTATTTCCAGACTTGCTTTCGGCACAATTTACAGTGCACGCTACTCTGTTTTTTGTCAGACTTGAAATAGCCGAAATACCTTCACACTACGGAACTTCTATGGCTCTTCCGTTCGACAATCTCTCCGGCGTTGGAACCATCATCTGTTTTCTCTTCGGTCACGCTCGGTTGATTTTTCTAGTCGGCACACTCATTTCCTCCATTACCCGCTGGCTGCTTCCCAAACAAACACACGTGCGGCTTGGCACTTGTGCTGTACGTAACAAGTCACGCGACGTGACGCTGCGGCTGTGATTGGTTCGGCTCTGCGCTACTTAGTTTGGATTGGCTGTTCTTTTTTTTTTTTTTTTTATTTTAAGAGGACAAGAGCGGGAGGTCTATCGCGATAGCTTAATTTCTCTATCGAGTAAAAGTTATATCGCGATACATATCGTTATCGTTCTATCGCCCAGCTCTACTTCTTCAGTACGTTTCTAATTATACTGTAATGAACCATTTAATATGCTAACTGAGGCAGTTTTTGCAGTTGCTCTGACTTTTAGGGTAAAATTGCTGGGAAGACTGTTGCATTGTGTTGACACGTACCTGAATGCTCCAGACCAGCAAACTGCCAAAATCTTTGCTTTTATAGAGGTAGTCACACTCGCTGATGATCCAAAAAATGAAGTGCATTAGATTGGCAGTGCCTGGCTGCTACTTACCCTCTTAATTGCTATGGAAGCAGTAAGGGTGTACTTAGCTTTGCACAGGACTGCAGAAACCCCTGAGACTCCCCTTTTCACGCCAATGTGGATGCTACAACGTGTAGCATATAATCTGAAGGCTGACTTTGCCCGAGTTTATAACACCAACTTTCCGTTTTACTACATCTAAAGTCATGATGTGTCTGAATTGCACAGTTTAAATGTTAGCTCCAGAGACTTTGCTTTTGTTATGGAAGTGGAGTTGCTTTACATTTATTTTAGAGCAGCATATCTTTACATTCCTGGCATGTTTTCTAATGTGAAGAACGATTATGTGCAAATTCATGAACTTACTGAAGTTATACACTTCAACTTAATTGTATTGAGGGAGAGAAAAAGCACTAGCTTTGGTATTCTTCCCAGATAACTCTGATCTTTCAAGCATCATTTGAATCTGTGATCCCCAGCCAGTAGATTCCTTGAAAGTTACCAAGGGATTGAGCAATCTGGATTGCCTTTGTGCAACGGGGAGAGTGAGAGACGTGAAAACGATTTCAAAGAGTCCAGGATGAATCATGCTCCCACTGCAGCTGCCATTTATTAGCACATTTTCCACCATGGTTTTTACAGCTACCTAGCATACATAGGTTCATAGAGTTTGCTAGAGGCTTGCTTTGCAGGGGGGTTATTTTGTAAAATGCTTCATTAAAAGTGTTGATAAATGAACGTCATACTAACTTGTGTGGTTGTCATAATTAGTCATGACATTAAATCTTAATAAAAACTAAAAGCGAGGGACACCTCATTTATCAGCTGTTACCTCTATAATGAAGATGAAGATTAATTTGAAAAAAGTGTGATACGCTCCCACTACTGGTTTGATATGAAAAATGTCCTTAACTCATTAAAGTACTTGTACCAGCCAACGAATTTACACAGACTTTTTCAGGGTTAATTCTTTGAATGTCAAGGAATGGCAACGCAGTAAACATAATATCCAAAAACTCAAACACAGATTATCACTTTCTTGTTTTGATAACAAGAAACCCTCTAATCCCTTTATTAACTTGCTCTTGTTTCCAGCTTGACATGTGCTCATTCAAAAGTCCCTGAGTTGTGCTTGCTATGCTGCAGATTTTTTTTAAACCAATTCTTGCCTGTCAAGGATGATGAAATGGAAACCCATAAGAAATTGACAGCGTGTACCGCTCAAGGACGAACATATCTGAAGATGACTTGTTTCCTGATTTGGACAAGGGGGCTAAGAGAGTAGATGTAATCCTTAAAGACTTTAACAAAAAAACCTATGTGCTTGTTTGTTTGTTTTTTGTTAGGTAGTTGTAGATTGACGGGTGAGACATTTTTCATTTTATTTTAAAGAAACGGACAACGTGTTGAAATGCTTGCATTCACTGCCACATCTTATAGGTTTGGATGAATCACTGCAGCCCACACAAAATTTTGAAAATCAGCTATTATGGAAATCTTTTTGCCATAATATGTTTAATTTTAGGAGCTTATGTCAGCCTCTCCCCTTCTGGGTGTGAAACTGACACATTGTCTGTCTGAAAAATTGAAATAGTATAGAGAAGGTGCTTTTGGACTGAGCTGTTGAGAGCTTTTTCTCTTGGAGAATAAATAATATATATATGTGTATGTGTCAATTCCTACTTTTCAGCTCCATTACCAACATGGGATTTAAGAATTCAATTCAATTTTATTTATATAGCGCCAAATCACAACAGTAGCCACCTCAAGGTGCTGGTAGACCCTACAATAATACATACAGAGAAAACCCAACGATCAAATGAGCCCCTATGAGCCGCATCAAAACATCATGGGAATCCCCCTGCAGCCTATGCCCATGGCAGCATAAAGGGAGGATTCAGGGTCACCTGGTCCAGCCCTAACTATATGCTTTAGCAAAAAGGAAAGTTTTAAGACTAATCTTAAAAGTAGAGATAGTGTCTGTCTCCCGAATCCAAACTGGAAGCTGGAAGCAGTGCTATGCTTGAGCCACTTCTCATGCAGGAAATGATAAACTAATGATATATCAGGAAAAGCTTGCTGTAGAGACTGCTTCGCATAAAATACAATGGCAACTTTGAAGAATAAAGTTTTTGATTTTTTTCCAGCACAGATCGGATTCCTTGTGTTGCAGGTACTTGGAGGTGTTTGGTATCTGGATGACCTTGGCTTTCTATTGTAAATATATCAACGGTTAGCCTTACAGCACAAAATCAATTTCCTCTTTAGCTGGAACCCTCTGCCTCACATGCTTAGAGCTGAACCACTGACCTGGCATAGTGGGTGTTGTCTTTGAATATCAATTGTGGTACTTCTCACGTGTAGTCACTGTCTGCTGCTTTCTGAATAAAATATCCATGAGGCTTTAAAAGCCGTGACAATTATTGTGAGGGATGTGCATACCACAGGGGGACGTTGTGTTCTATTTTCTATTAATAAAGTTACATCTTTGAATAGATAACCTTTTAATGATTCACTCTGGGAGTTTGTGGAATTAATAATACACCATATAATCCCTGTGTCTTTTAAAGCCTAGAGAGTGAAAGAGTCAGCTTTGGTTTGAGGCCTACTTTTGTAGAGTAAAAAAAAATGTTCATGTTTTACTTTTCTACTGTGTTTGTGTCTACCTTATAAGATACCAGTGGTATTTTTTACTACTAAAGAGTTTACATTTAAACTGCCACAATAAGTAGTTTAAATAATGTCTTCCAAAGTTTTTACTCTGACATAGAAGAGTCTCGGGTAGCCTCAGGAGCAACACATATCTCCTTGTGTTCTCTCTGATCTCTCATCAGCTCTTGGGCCTTACATCAAGAGCCCCAGATTTATCAATCAATAGCCATAAACAAAACATCGATTGAACTGGACACTGGGGCACAACAAACAGATTATCAAGTTTTTAGCCCTCCGTGTGCGCATGGTGACTAGAGGCACAGCTGTAAAAATGCCACTTGCCAGCCAAAGCGTGCTGCACAGCGTACAGAGGATCAGGCATGAAAGATGTGGGAGCTTCTTACAAAAGGAATTACAATTACCAGAACATGGTGTTAAAAAGGTGTGTCTGTGCACCACATAAATGGATGAAAGCAGAATCAGATGAGTAATCCAGTTGTATTGGCAAGGTATTGGGGTATAATACTAGTCAATCCAATTGCCAGTGCTCTGTGTCATTGTGCACACACATGTGTGCTTGGGTAATTCCGATAGTGTTTGGACAAATTTTGCACGTGGTTGCACGCGTTTGCACGTAATAGTTGTGGTGCTGACATGTCTCACAGCTGTGCATATTTCACAGGGTGGAGAACCCTGCATTGCGGTGCTCGTACACAGCAGCCATGTGAGAGCAGCTCAGGGTCAGACTAGAAGAAGAAAATGAAAGTTGCATCACCAAGCCCATCACTCTGTGTTGTGTCTCTGGGTAGCGCAGCGCTAACGTATTCACATCTCTCTGCCTTACCTCGTTAATATATTCCCGGGTTTTTCAGCTATGTTTACTAAAGCAGCAGAACGGGAATTTCACTTAGAAGTTGTGGTTAAACGGCTTCATTTGCAACAAAAAAGCAGGCATAATACATGGTATTTAATAATGATGCGAGCACATACACCAAAAACAGTGCAAGTGTTAATTCAGTCATCATTACTTTCCTCTCTTTGTCTCTTCAAGCTGAAAACACCAATTTTAATCAGTCCTTAATAAAACATAATCATTCCCTGGGCTATCTTGCTTTTAGCCCACTGAGATTCGCAAGGGAGCGAGGAATGAAATCTTCTCTTCCAATCTAACAAGAGTGGTTGTTTCATTACAAATAAGTAAATCGCTGCTGAATGACATTTGCCGCTTCACATGAAAGAAGTTTAGAAAAATGTTCCTGTTGATTTAAGTTGCTAAAGAATGAGGGGATTTTTTAAAAATATATAAAACTGTTCAATTTGAACTAAATTGGTTTCCTCTTGTCTTTCTTCAGCGCTCGCCCCAACACATCCCAGCCTTCGTTCGGAGGTCTTCAAGCCATGTGTGGAAGACAAGGACCTAGCCTTTTGTCTGAACGAGGGAGAGTGTTCGATCATTGAAACCGTGGCTGGGGTTCACAGACACTGCAGGTGAGTTTGAAGGCTGCACCGTGTTTCTGTCTCGGCACTGAAACGCTCTTTGTCCCCCCCAATCCATCAACAATTCATTCACTAGTCTCAACTCGTTTTCACTCAGTCCAGCTAAATTAGTTCTGGAAGTGATGAAACCCATGAAACGGGAAGATCAATGTGCAAATGCACAATAAATTAAGATCTGTTATCACCTGAACCACTAGAAGAGGGATCGGATATACTTTAGCTGAACCAGATGCTAATTGTCTGAAAAAAAGTTGCAGATTCAACCACGGAGCAGTGAACGTGACGAAACCTCTGTCTTCACTTTGCTCTGACAAAAGTAGTAATGATGATAGCAATCTTATAAAATGCCTTTCTCCTTCCGTATTAAGCTTGGAAAAATTTTTTGTCTGACATGGCCCCTCAGTCTGCACCACATTTTAATGGTAAGTGTTAAGAAGCAGCTCTTGTTATATCCTTCTTTGATCTCACTTGAAAGAAATTGATTTTTTCCTTGATTTTTCTTTTTTGCCTTTCGTTTGTGACATGATCATCTTTGCTGTATTCCTTTTGTTTTACTCTGCCTGACACTCACTCTGTGACTGCACAAGAGAATAAATAAAGGTAGCAAGCAAGTACACCCTTGACACATCATGTAACCAGACAGGAATAAGTAAACTGGTGTCAATTAACTCAATTAAACTTATTGAGGAAATCAATGCAGCCCCAGGGTATTTTTAATGCCTTTGACATTAAAAATTATTCACCTGCATCAGAAAGCATCTACTGTGTGTCTCTCTCATGCAGTTTAATTAATTTGCTTCATATTTGTGATAGATAAAAAGTCACTTGTTTATACAGTACTGTGCAGAAGTCTTGAGCCACCTCTTTGTTTCTATTTCCACAGGTGAAGCAGGTTATTGATCTATCTGCACACACACACACACACACACATGCAAAACAGAGTTTCTACAGTTCTAACAAACTTGAATGACCACCTTTCTTCTCCAACAAAGCTCTCTTGGGCAAGCTTTCTTGTAATTTCTTTAAGTAGGCTTCAGGAATTATTCTTCTTGAAGGACATTCCACTCCTCTTGTAAGAAGAAGCCGTCGACAGTGAAAGCTTTCCATTGCATAGTGGATCAAAATCTGGCGGTGCTTTTCTGCATTCATAACTCCAATTTGAAAAAATGCTCAAAACTATTGACTAAAATGCAACTCCAGATGGCTGCACCGCCCTCACTCCTGACATCCTCCATACTTGTTGGACACAGTTTGGATTTAGCAGTCTGTAAGACCTGCTGTGTCTGATTTTTCAGTCCAGTTCTTTTGTAATGTGCCATACCTGTGACTTTCAAGACACTGCTTACTTGCTTTTAGGGCTGCTATTTCTTTTGTCCCAAAGTTCCCTAAATCTTTTAAAGGACTCACTCCAAATAGTGTTGAGATATGCCACGTTTTTAGCTAACAGCTGTCTGGGAGTCACCTTATTGAAGCAAAAAAAATTATGCCTGCCAAAGTGTGTTATCTTTGCCATTTTGAAATTGGGACAAATTATGTGTTTTTGTGGCAGGCACCTACTAACAAAGTGCCAAAAGTTACAATTTAAAATGGCTTCTTTGTTGTCTATTATATATAAAACGCTGGTTCATCCTTGGAGTTAGGTACCTTTTCTCTGCCTGAATGATTAACAGTTTAGTTTAAGTGATTTAACAAATGAACAAAAAAAAAACTCTGAAAGATCTTTAGAAAGCCTGGAGAATTATTGCTCTAGTCCACTTTAAACTATTACAAGAAAGTCTGGCTCCCTGGAAGCTAAATTTAAAGAATTGACTGGTGTTCTCAAAACAGAACATACAATGTTTTACGAGGGGAAAAAAAACATAAACTGGCTATAAAAAGTCAATGTGGGTGGTTAATCAAGTCTGATTTAAATATCAGTTCTGGCTTTAAATGACCCATTACTGGATATTGGTTACTGAGCATAATTCAATTTTTTGCAACGATGCCGTCCTTTGTTCTGTGATTTAAATATCTGCAAAGTCCAAACTTACTTGTTCAGTTCAGCTGTGCCAAAGGAGAGCCTCTGGCAATCAATATCTACCTAGAGGGAAAAAAGTTGTGACAAGGCTTCCATAGGACCCAGAGAAATCTTGTTAAGGCACAGGTGAACCTGCAGAAGCCCTCCATCACTCTCCCCACAGCTTCTGTGTGGATATCCTGTCACATTCTGCTTCTCGCTGCGCCTCAACACCCATCTGACCTGCAAATCTGGTGAAGGCTGTCTTGAGCTGGAACAGGCAGCTGTCGATCCCCGTTTCATAGCCAGAACCGCCTTCAGTGAGGGCCTAACATTTATTTGGATTTTTGGAATGTACATGTCACGAAATTTCACTGAGTACTGAGGTAGAGAGTCAAGGTGCTGCTTTAGTTAAAAGGTTTTCCATAAATGAGAAAAAAAGTGATTCTTGATAACATTTTGTTAAGACGTTAAACAGCTACAGAATTTGACGAATTTGCAAATTTCTGTATCAGGTTTTAGCCAAATATTCAATGTATTGTAAAATATAACATATGAAATATGAAATAAAACAAGCATAATGTTCATAGGAAATGACTAGAAAGTGTTTAAATGTAAAATTATTCTTATTTCAGAATATACTGGCAGTTTAGTTGATAGTGTAATTATAAGTTGTGTTAACTTAAAAAAAAAAGTATACAGCTGATGCTGGGAATTATTAAATGATGCAAGCTCAATGCAGTGTGTGTTTCATGTCATATTATTGTGGCAGCTACAACAATTTCGAGCATGTCACCTGTGTGACAGCATCAAGACACCCTGAAGACTTGTTGCAACTACACTCTGGGCTATAATTAGCGACAGCTGAATGATGAATATAGGACTCAGGAATGACTGGAGGGCCTGACCTAGAGACACAGCGGAGTGCCTGTTGTGTGAAAGAATGATTACAGGTTTGTGAGTACTTTTATTGAAAGGTTGTTGTTTTTTTCCAGAGAGAAGTCCAAGCAGTAAGTCAGAAAAAAATATGATCATTTCACTCAAAAAATAAATAAATAAATCACTGCCAAGTGGATTGTGTTTTAATGATATTGCTACTGGGAGGGGCGTCCAAGTGGGCTTCTGATCTAAGACAGAAATTACATCAAAGCTTGCAGGAAGTCATGTGGAATAAATGAAAACTCCCATTCTTCGTTAAAGCTGCATAAGGTGATTTCTGAGCTCTTGGGGGGGTCACAACAAGTTCAAAGCAGCGCGGTGACATAAAGACAAAATTTGCAAGTTGAAGTTGAAATCAGATGTTTTAAAATGCATTTTAAGAAACGTGAATATAATTTTTAACTTATAATGATACAGAAAGTTACATGAAATACAGCAAATGTGTGTTTAAATATTCACAGCAGGAACATCCCATTGTTTGTGACAACAAATGTTAATCCAAAATTTACAAATACTTTCTTTCCTGTTTAATGCACAGATTCCTCAACCGTGTGGCTGCATTTATGGCTTGTTAAGTTATTTGTTTACGTTTGATCTTCTACTCAGTCATTTCATGCTGAAGTTGTAGTGTACAATAAGCTTGTGTGAGCTTGTTTGCTGAAAATGGTGGCCCGCAGTTTTATTTTTTGAGGATTAAACCATAACAACCAGCTGAAAGCTAAAAAAAACCCCACAAACAAACAAAGACACATAAAGACGCTGCTATTCCATCATCTTCGTCTTATAGTCTATACATAGTTATCTTCTTGCCTTCTTCCTGTCACAGATATTGTTCACGAAAGTAAATTTGCACATTGCAGAAAACAAGAAAAATAGATAAATAAATATACGAGGCTGGCATTTCACAGTCAGGTTTAAGGTGCTGGAGATGCTGCTGCTGATCGATCAGCCCTTCAAGGAAAGTCAGATCAGTGTCCTGATCTGAGAACTGTGACCTCTCCCACTAAAATACAGAAAAAGGAAAGGTTTAAAGATCGCTGCCTTGTTTGATGTCATGCTTTCTTCCAGACCTCCAGGGCCTCAGAGCCGGTTGGATATTTTCCAACATGTGACAGCTAAAGATGTCAGAATCGTCTCTAAACATTTGAATTATTGTAGGGAAACACCGTTTTGAACTTAGGAATCAATTTAATGTGTTATGAAACATTTCCTCTGCTCTCCTCCTCCTAGCCCCTTCTCCCACCACTCTGCCGGATGTTCATGTTTGCCAATGCTAATAAGGCTCCCAAAATAAACATGCAAATGCGAGTTTAAGACCTACTTTCACATCAGTGCCGTGCCTTTTGTACAATAAATGTACAAGAATTCAAAAGTCTTGTGAGGCTCAACACATGACAGCCTAGTCACATTCAGGATTATCACAAAGGAGATAACAAAAAAACCCTTACAAAAGGTTTTCTTCTTTTATTTGTAGAAGATGGCAAAAGAATTTCTCACAGATCAAACCAGAACATGTTTGGCATTTACTGTGACATGCCTAATATGTTGTAGACCCACTACTGGAAAAGCTGTGACGGCCAGGACAGAGCGCAGGACCTCTGGGTACGGTGTCTGGCACTGGGTTCTTGGCAGCTGATGCTTTGGATCATGTGGACTGTAGGTTGGGACCTCCATGAATGTGGCTGCAGGGTATCTCTTGAATGCTTAATTATGTTGAGATTTGGAAATTTTGAAAGCTGGATCAAATCTTTGAACTCTTTATTGCTTTGAACTCATTTTTCCCAGGTCAGTTTTTGGGGCGTGGCTGGCGCATTGTCCTGCTATGGCAGTGGCATTATGATGGGGATGTGGAGGTGGAAAACTGACATCCACATGAGTTCCAGGGCACAGAATTTCCGTGCAGAACAATTCATTGAGTATGATCAATGTTACTCACTTCAGCTGTCAGCGATTTTAATGTTGCTGATAGATCAGCGGCCCGTTTTTCCTAAGGGGACCAAAAATTTTACTTGGTTTAGTGGCGCAGGCAAATGACCAAAATACTGAAGTGGGTATC